TCCTCGCCTGATCGTCAGGGCGGAGCTGCAGTTTTTGTTTCCATGTGCCTGGGAGTGTGCGGATGCATTGCCATTTCTCTGTTTTGTTCTTTCTTCTAGGGTGTTCTTCCCTTCTCCTGTTCCACTGGGAACACTTGGGTGTTGGTTTTTCACCCGGTTTTGTGTTTTCTGTCTGTGTTTGGGTCTGGGCCTTGGGGTTTCGCCCCAGTGTTGTTGGCCGTTTGCTATGCTTGTTCCCACGCCTTTTGTCCCTCAGTTTTCGGTCCGTTTCTGGCTGTTTCACAGGGGTTTCAGTCTGGGGTTATGTGTTTTGCCCTTCCTTTCTGTGGTGCGTTTCTGCCGGCAAATGTTGTGGTTAGATTCCGGGTTTCTTTGGGCTCTTCGGTTTCATTCTGGAGGCCCTTGGTTTCCTCCTGTGTGCCCTGCTTTTTCCTCTTCTGGAGTTCTGGGGGTCTTCCTGGCTTGCAGACTGCTCTTTTTGGGTCTTTGCATGTGTTTTGTGATCGTGCCGGGGCTTTGGATTTTGTTGTCGAGGTGGGCCTTTGGTGTAGCTTTTGTGCTGTGTTTACTTGTACAGTACCTTCTTTGTCTAGCCGGCGCTGTGCTCCCTCTGCTCGCCAGTCGACTTTTTGCCTTTTTTTTTTTGTTCTTTAAAATTTTATTTATTTTTTCTCGAAGGGGGCACAGGTCCCTTCGCTGTTGACGAGGCGATGTGGGGGCGGCTCCCGCTTGATCCCATGATTCGTGGGCATTTTCAGTCATGTCATCCAGCCTATGGTGGCATAAGGCGGCTCCTACCCCTTTGGGGGTTTGGGGCTGGTGGGGCAGGCTTCTTCCCCTGCTCTTCGTCAAGTCTTCTCAGAGTAGATGCGCTTGTTCGTGGTCGTAACGACCCCGTCCCTCAGGTGGGTTCCCGCCTGTTTCCAGTGCCGAAATGGGACTGTGTGAATCTGAGGTTCCTTTTGGACTTGTCCCGTCTGAACCCCTGGATTCCTTTCCTCTCCTTTTGGATAGCCACTCTATCTGAGGTCCAACTTCTTTTGGAGCCGGGTGCTTGGATGGTGTCCCTGGACCTCAAGGATGCTTATTGGCATGGTCCTATTTGCCCAGGGTTCAGGGACAGAGATAGGTTTTGTGGTGGGACGTCAGGCTTACTGCTTTCATTGCCTTCCTTTTGGGTTGAATCTGGCACCTCGCGTATTCACGTGTCTTACCCGGGTCATGGTGGCCCGTCTGCATCTGCTAGGGATTCGGGTTCTGGCCTACTTCGACGACTTTGTGGTGTGGGCTCCCAGTCAGTCCACGTGTCTGCTCGCCAGGGGTGTGGTTCTTTCCCAGCTCGCTAGGTTCGGGTTCCTGGTGAATTGTAGGAAGTCCCATCTGGTTCCGTCCCAGGTTGGGATCTGGTTGGGGCTTGCTTGGAACTCTCAGACTGCTTCCATGTCTCTCACTCCAGAGGTGTTGCTGAGGCTGCGGTCCCGCCTTCGGCTGTTTCTGGGGGGAGTGGGGGCCCGGGTCATTCGGCGGTTGCTCGAGCAGTTGTTCGGGAGTTTGAACTTTGCCATACTGGTCTACCCACTGGGTTGGGTTTGGCTTCGGAGTCTGTTCTGGTTCCTTCTCGGATGCCCCTTACGCTTCTCTCTCAATCGCTGGGTTCGTACTTCTAGTTCCTTTTGTCGGTTGCTGTGTCGCCAGCTTCCTCTTCGGGATTTTTAGGGTTCAGTGCTTTGGTGCCTACCTGAGGCTTTGTGACCAGTGCTCACCAGGCCGGCCAGGGGCGATGGGGTCCGTCCTTCTGTCAGTGGTGCACCTTCTGTAGCATGGTGCGGGAATTTGCAGTGGTTTGGCTGTCTCGTTGAAGGGTTCGGGTCGCTCGGTTTTCGACCATTGTTCATTTTTCGACCAAATGGTCGACCATTTCGACCACCATGTTCTCCGGTGGTTCATTGCTTGAACCACTGTTGTCTTCGGTCTTTGCCTTTTTGAGAATGGTTGCTTCGAGTGGATCATCTGCTCGCTTCTTGGGGTTTGGCTCTCAGTGCGGTTCATGTCCGGGGAGTGTCCAACATCCTGGCGACAGCCTGTCTCGGTTCATTCCCCTGTCCGCAGAATTGGTGGTCGATGCTGACTCGTTCCATTGGCTCTGCCGAACGTAAGGACTCCCAAACATGGACCTCTTCGCATTGGCATATTTTCTGCGTCTCCCATGTGTGGAAGACGCAGAGACCACATCTTCTTACTATGTGGCGCCCTTTCCCGACTGTGAGGCTGTCGCAGTGGGCGCCTTTCAGCCTGACTGGTCGAGGTGGAGCTCCTTGTACCTCTTTCCCCCTGGTCCAGCTGTTGCTTCGGGCTTTGGACAGTAGTCCTCATGGCCCCATGGTGACTGGCCCAGTCTTGGTTCCAAGTGCTGCTTGCTTGGTGTGCATACCCGGAACGTTTTCCATGGCTCGGCCTCTTCCATCGGGTCGGACCGGTCTGGTACACAGTTGGTTCGGTCTTCTCCTCTGCTCTTCGCTTCTGGTCTTCTTGATGCGGGTTTATCACCATTTGTATGGTGATCATGTGACTTCGTTGATGGTGTTCCACCTGAGAGCTTCGTCTCGGCGATAGTATGACATTTCCTTGTGTTCTCGCTGCCATTTTCTCTCTTCGTAGGTTGTCTTCTATTTCTAATTGGGTTGTCTTGTCCTTTTTATCTTTACTTTTTCAGGATCATCATTTAATGCCTTATGCTGTCGCCTTGTATTGTGCGTTGCTAGCAGAGCTGATCCAGCCACATTCAAGGTGGATATCACTTCTGCCCTGTTCTGTAAGCTTCTCGTGCTTTGTTTCACCTCCGGCCTGCTCATGTGCCACCTAAGCTATCCTAGTCCTTGGACAGGGTGCTCTCCTATTTTTCTTCTCCTTGGTTTGTGGTGGCCCCTTCAGTTGAAGATTGTTTTTTCCAAGGCTCTGTTTCTGTTAGCATTGGCCTCTGGGGTTGTTTCAGTGGGCTTCATGCTCTCCTCTGGCACAGGGGTTTCTGGTCTTTTGGTCCTGGTGGTCTGTTTGTTTGGTTGCAGCTTTCTTCTTTTCTGGCAAAGAATGAGATGGTGGCTTTCTAGAGGGGTCCTTGGGTCATTGATGCTTGGTTGGTCAGGCCGGGTGTGCATCATGTGTTGTGTCCGGTTGTGGCTCTCTGTCATTATCTGTACACTTTGGCTTCGGTGGCTGAGGATGCGCTTTGTGTTGATCCGGTTTCTCTCTTTCCCTGTTCCAGGGCTCGGGTCTCCCAGGTCATCCGCAGGGTTAAGTCTAGCCAGCCTGCAGTCTATCTTTGTGCCCATGACGTTATGAAATTTGCTGCTTTGGCTGCTATGATTGGCAACATGTCTCGGGGCTGATATTTGGGCACGGGGATTTTGTAGGTCGAACAGGATTCTGTCCGCCTGTTATTTGGTTAACGTTCCTGCTCCTGGGCCTTCCTGTGTTGCTTTGGGTCACAGGTTGCAGCCAGTTATCTCATCTTCACGTTAAGGAGTGTGTGGTGGCTGCTTCCTGGGTAAGTCCCTTTATTTCTTGTCTTTGGTTATGTAGCTCCAGGGAGCCGAAGGGGTTTCCCACAGAAAACTAGCGGTGATTGTAATGAAACCATTTTCTGGGCGAGTCCCCGGAGGCTCCCTGGCAACCCTCCCGCCCTCCCGGTCGGCGTTTTTTTGCATTGTTTGATGCTTATCTTACGGACTAGAGTGCTGAGTAGATGGCGCAGGGAGGTCTGGGGCTTCCCTTTCTCCCTCTCGGGGAGAGGAGGGCTGCGCGGACGAGTGGTGGGGCAGTGGAATGTGACGTTTGCTTGTTTACTAGTTTTCTTGGGATTAGAGGGAGTTCTGCCTCTCGATTCAGTTTTCTTTGTACTTTTCTTACTATGTGGGGTTTGTTTTGTTATGCCTACCTTTCTGGGTGCCTAACCCTGGTCAATGGCAGATTAGGAAAACCTTCACCCAAAGGGGGGTTTTCCAGGGCCATTGCTCCATGCAACCTCTCTGAGGGGGCCAGGTTCTGGATTGTGGTTCCTGAAAGAACCATAGACTAATGTCCCGGTCCAATATATCATTCATTAGCCCGATAGCTCCAGGGAGCCTCCGGGGGCCCACCCAGAAATGGCGTTTCTTTACTGTACATTCAGTGGTTGTTGTTTTTTTCCCTTCTAGGCTGAAACTGGCAAACATTGCAGTGATATTATTATAATGATATTGCTTTCATCATGATGTTGATGCTATATCTATATTCAGTTTTGTCTGTTATATTACCATGTTTATGACTTGTTGGCAACTTAGTTTCACATACAATACCAATGCAACACTTTATACAGACGGTGTGAGCTGCATTAAGTATAATGTATATTAATTAGGTCGTGTAGTTTAAACTGTATATTAGTGCATGGAGTAGATTTCCTTAATTGCTGTAAATTAGTAAACCATTTTCTCTTTATCATACAAGCTAAATGTAAACAAAAATACAGCAAAAAACTTGTCCGAGATGACATGAAAATGAATTTGAGGTAATGGTTGCATCTTGTATTGATACGGTGTGCCTTGCAATGTCAGCAGGAAATGCATTTGGCTCTGCACTTTACAATTACTGTATTAGTGTCCAGGTAAGTTAATGGGACAAATTTAAGCCGTTTCATTATTTCTGTGCTATATATATATATTTTATATAACAAATAATATATATATATATATATATATAATATATATATATATATATATATATATATTGTGCTATGTGTAAATCACATTTCATGACTTCTTTAATGAAGAATATTTAAAATGTGTTTGTTGTGAATTGATTTGTAAATATAAATACAAGTCATTAAACTATCTCTTGTAATGCCAGCTATGAAAAGATTGGGCATGAAGATGTGTTGTGTTTACCTGTTCATAAAACTCTTGTGTATTATGCATAGTTTTAATTGAGTTTTTCAGTTTGTTTAATTTTATATTTTTTTCTTGCAGAAAAAGCAAATGTGGGAGCAGACTAGTAAGGGTGAGTGATATTGTAGTAATTCAAGTTGACTATGATTGGGTGAGAGTATGTGTACATTTTGTGACATGTCTCCCTCATCTTGATCTATTTCACTCAGTTTCTGACACGTGGTAAGCTATCACCTCCTTCAAATGTCATTAGATTTAGCTCTGCCGATTCTTACAGTTCGTCTTGCTTATATATGGTACATACCTTGGAACTCTTTTTGTCGTTTATCAAGTGTGGGTTCCATGCTGAAGCTAACAAACTGTATACAATATTCTGAAGGATTCCTTGCTTGGGTTCGTTAAAGACATCATTATGTTTGCTAGTTTTGCATAGGTTACCTATGTTCATGTTTGTTTTCATGTAATATTAAGAATTCTGTTAGATGTAACCCCATATAAGGTTCTTCTGGAGACCTACCTGGGGGAGGAGTACATTTTTAAATACTGTCTTGTACCCTGAAAGTGGGAGGGAGGTTGTGAAGATGGCAGATCCACCATACAACTGGGGCAAACCCTCTGCTGTGATGACCATAAACATTACAGTATAAAACAATCAAGCTTGCTCTCCAAAGTGTGTTTGGCAACAATATCTTGTATTCATTACAGCACCCCGTGCCCACTCTTCCCCTCCCCCCTCCCCCCGTACACACTGCAGCACTATGTTCATATACTAAGTGTGGTTTGTGATATACCAGCTGGCCTTCTATATCCACTCTAAATCATTTGTATTTCAACGTTACCACTGTGTAAATATGAATTATATCTGAATTACTGAAAGTAAAAATATTGTACTGATGTAAAGATGTTTGTTTGCAGATATTAGTGACATCACGAAGTTTACAGCTGTTGGGAGAGAACCAGCTGCTGCCCCTCCTGCCCAACATGCTGCCCCTCCTGCCCAACATGCTGCCCCTCCTGCCCAACATGCTGCCCCTCCTGCCCAACATGCTACCCCTCCTGCCCAACATGCTGCCCCTCCTGCCCAACGTGCTGCCCCTCCTGCCCAACGTGCTGCCCCTCCTGCCCAACGTGCTGCCCCTCCTGCCCAACGTGCTGCCCCTCCTGCCCAACGTGCTGCCCCTCCTGCCCAACGTGCTGCCCCTCCTGCCCCTCCTGCTGCTCCTGCCCAACATTCCCCTTCTCCTCCTCCTCCATACAGGTATTGCTGCTTACTGTATTGTTACCCATTCCATTATTTAGAGGAGAGTAGCTTGTGAGCACACCACTCGCGCACATTGCTGATATTCTCTTCACTAATTTAACCCCTGTATTGCTCTCACTAATTTTCATGACAACCACTGTTTAAAAGAAAAGGTATCTAAATTTTTTTTCTTTTCTTTTCCGCCCAGTCGTCTCCTTGGAGCTATCAAACTGATATTAGTTACCGTATATTAGTCTGGGCTTCGGTCACATGGAGTTCTGCCTACCAGGAACCTTGAGTCAGAACCTGGTACCCTCAGAGAAGTGCAGGGAACAATGACCTATGAAAACTCCACTCTTTGAGAGTATATACATGTCTGCCATCAATCGAGATTAGGCACCCAGATTGGTAGGTGCCCTAAAACAGACCCCAACTGGTAGAAAATTGCAATCCAAGACTGAACAGGGCCCTATAATTCTTCCCAAGGAAAACAGGGTATAATGCAAATGGTCATCAAACCGAAGTGCTGCTTGTCGAGCGGCGAAATTACAAGCACCTCCTGGTGGAAGTGCTCACTTCACTACTCCACCCTTTCCCCATAGGTGGGGCTCCTGCCCACCCGAGCCAGCCGCCTGCTCACCAGTTTGTCGACTAAATCCGGCTGGGGCTGATGTCTCCTCTGGCATCATTTTTCTGTCAGGATTTTACCCTTGTGGTGTGCCTGCTGTGTGTTAGGGCATTGGCCAGGAGTACAGGTACTTCAAGTTCCTGGTGAATTGGAGGAAGGAATTTGGTTCTGTTCCAGGTTTGGACTTGGCTGGGCCTAGTTTGGGTTTCTCGGACGGCATCAGTGTGTCTCCCTCCTGGGGCATTGCTCCGGCTGCAGTCCTGCTGCGGTAAGATACCTTGCTGATTCAATCTACTCTTCCGCCTTCATGTCTGGTATTTTTGACGTGTATGTATCACCACTTGTATGGTGATCAGGTGGGTTCTCTCATGGTGTCACACCTGCAGTCTTTTTCTTGGTGACAGTATGAAGTCTCTTTGCATTTTTTTTGCCACTTCCTTTCTCTTTTTAGGTTGCACTCTGTTTCTGTTGGTGTTTTTGTCTTTCCTTTCTTGGCTGTTTCAGGGCCGACATCTTATTCCGAATACTGTCACCTTTTATCATGTAGTGCTGGCAGAGCCGCTCCAACTTGCGTTTGGGGTGGATGTCACTTCCGCTCCGTTCTGTAAGCTTTCTCCTGGGTTTTTCCTCTGGCCTCCTCATGCATTGCCTGAGCCTTCCTGGTGTTTGGACCGGGTGCTCTCTTTTCTTTTTTCTCCTCGGTTTGTTGTGGCCCCTTTGGTCCAAGATTGTTTTCAGGAGGCTTTGTTTTTGTTGGCTTTGGCCTCTGGTGATTAGGTCGGTGAGCTTCATACCCTCCTCCAACCCAAGAGTTTTTGCTCTTTTGGTTCTGGTGGATGTTTTGTTCGCGTGCAGCAGTCTCCTTCTTTTCTGGCAAAGAATGAGACTGGGGAAGCCTCCGGAGGGGTCTGTGTGTTTTTGATGCTTGATTGCTCAAGCCAAGGGTGCATCATATTTTGTGTCCAGTTGCAGAGCTCTCCACCGTTATCTGCGCGCTTCGGGTTCTATGTCCGAGGACCCGCTTTGGGTTGATCAGATTTCCCTAGTTTCCTGTTTCAGGGCTCTGGTCTCTCAGGTTGTCCGCAGGGTTATCAAGTTTAGCCAGCTTGCGGTCGTTGCAACCCGTTCTCGCAAATTTAATAAGTCAATATTGACTTATTAAATATGTGCATAGGTGACATACTTAACATAATAGATACCCTTAAAAAGATTCATAGAAAACACCGACCTTACCTAACCTTGTTAGTATCTTAAGATAAGCATCTTATTGCTTCGTAATTACAATTATTACCTAACCTATAATAGGTATAGGTTAAGTAATAATTGTAAATACGAAGCAATAAGATGCTTATCTTAAGATACTAACAAGGTTAGGTAAGGTCGGTGTTTTCTATGAATCTTTTTAAGGGTATCTATTATGTTTAGTATATCACCTATGCACGTAGTTAATAAGTCAATATTGACTTTACGAATTTGCGAGAACGGGTTGGTCTCTCAGGTCGTCCACAGGGTTATCAAGTTTAGCCAGCCAGCAGTCTCAGGTCATCCACAGGGTTATCAAGTTTAGCCAGCCTGCGATCTCTCAGGTCGTCCACAGGGTTATCAAGTTTAGCCAGCCTGCAGTCTCTCGGGTCATCCACAGGGTTATCAAGTTTAGCCAGCCTGCGGTCTCTCGGGTCGTCCACAGGGTTATCAAGTCTAGCCACTGGTTCCTGAGGGGTGCTTGGGCTGTTGATGCTTGGTTGGTTCAGTAGGGAATGTATCATGTGTTGTGTCCAGTTGCGTCTCTTTGCCATTACTTGTGCACCACGGCCTTGGTGGTCGGGGATGCGCTTTGGGTACACCCGGTTTCCCTTCTTCCCTCTTCCAGGGTTCGGGTCTCCCAGGTCGTCCGCAGGGTTATTTAATCCAGCCAGTCTGTAGTCTATCCTCGTGCCCGAGATGTTTGTAAGTTTGCTGCCATCTTCGGTAAGATGCCTTGGGCTGACATTCGGGCACGAGGTTTTTGCAGGTTGAACAGGGTCCTGGCCACTCGCTACCCAGTTAATGTTCCTGGCCCTGGTCGGGCATGTGTCGCATTGGGTCGGCGGTTGCAGCCAGTTGTCTCGACTTCAAGTGAGTGGCGAGCGGCAACCACCTCCTGGGTCAGAAACTCTTGTTTTTATCTTTGGTTAAGTAGCTCCGGGGAGCCGAAGGGGCTGCCCCCCAGAAAAACCAGCATTGAATGTAATGAAACGCCATTTTCTTGGTGAGACCTGGAGGCTCCCCGGCAACCCTCCTTCCCTCCCGGTCAGGAGGGAGGGAGCCTCAGAACTAACGGGTTGGATAGCCGGCGCATGGGTCTGGGGCTTCCCCTTCCCCCTCCCAGGGAAGGGGGAAGCTGCGCAGACAGCAGAGCGTTGAGGGTTGTGACGTCATGCTCGTTTTTTATTTAGGGAGTTCTGTCCAGCAGTTTGGCTTTCAGTAGCAAAATTTTCACCAGAATAGGAATTTGTTTTGCGGCACCTACCTTTCTGGGTGCCTGACCCAGTCGATGGCAGACATAGAATGTTTCCACCCACACGAGAGTTTCTAGAGGCCATTGCTTCTCGTGCCTCTCTGAGGGGGCCAGATTCTGGCTCGTAGTCCCCGGTAGGCCTAGAACCCCATTCGCTTTGTTTGATACCAGGGTCTAATACATTCATATCAGCACGGATATCTTCGGGGCGCCTTCGAGGCGCCTCCAGGTCTCACCCAGAAAATGGCATTTCATTATATTCAATGCTGGTTTTTTAAGAATATTCATCATATTCATCATATTTTTATATTGAGCTGTACTGATGAGAGATTCAGAATACACCCCTTGGTTGGTAGTGATTGAATCATAACTAGTATCGGATAAGATTACACTTCTGTTCATTAACCTGTTTACTTGTTTTCTTAGGGGTGATGCTGGAGATCGTGGTTACTCTAGACCTGCATATGATAGGGATAGAGGTCATTATAATGATGACCTGTATGATCGAAGATCTTCAGATAGAGGTAATGTATTCTGCTTTATTTAGTATTGTTATATTTCTTTCACTGTTCTCATATTACAAACACTAGCATACTTCTCTCAGCAAGCACATTGGTAATTAAACTAGTATACAATTTCATCATTTGCCCTGTTCCGTGCATAGTTATGCTCATCATTATATGTTCAATATACATTAGTAATACATAACTTTCATTTCATAAATCTTCATTTACATCCATTTTAACCCAATCAGATCACCCATTACAATAATCCTAAAACTTTTAGATATCACACCAATATCATTTTCAAAGCTAGCAAGAAATCCCATTATGCATTCTCAATTCTTTCATCACCTGTCTTGTATGTTCACAATCTTTGGCACTTTTCCAGCTATAACTTGAACACGCCCAGTTTTTTGTTAAATTGGGCATCTGCCATATTTTCTTCACAATGCTTCCTTGCACTCTTGTTGTGTTTAGAGAGGATCCTTTTCTTTTGGGGATAAATGCCCATTTACCTCTATCTTCTGAGTCTTAACCTCACCTCACTTTTCTTGTGTGTGTGTTTTAATGCTCCTGGTCTCATATGTTCTCAATTTGATGTGTTAGGGAGCCGCATATGTTTTGTCTCACGTTCAAGGGGTCTACCAGCTCAAACACCTTAGACTTGGTCTTGTGGTGCTGTATACACATTTGGCTCTAACAAGACATCGCCTGTTTTCACACAGTCACTCGCTCCCAGTCTTTCCACTCTCATTGTGTACTTCATACATTCTCTTTCACCGATCGTCTATAATAATATAATACAGTACTGCTAGCTATTATGTTATTTAATTAGCATCAATTCAGGGGGCATAATACCTCACCTAAACTATTTACCAAACTTGTTCTTGTACTTATTTTAATGTTAATTTCAAATTTCCTTAAACTTAATTTAGGGTGTTGATTTAATCATATATATGCAGTATTTACATTATTTCAGGAGGACGTGGCAGGCACGAGTTCTCGCGCAGCCCTAGTGATGACAGACGGTTAGTAGGGCTCCCTTTAGTGTGCAGTTTAGGGCTGTTATGAAAGAGATCTTAGGTAATGTGTTGGATAGTCTTGGGAGGAGTTTTTGCTAGATTTTGTTATGGTACAAGGAGGGTTCCAGTTGAGTCTAGGCAGGCAAAGGGGAGAGTGAGAACCTTAAATGATAACAGAAGATCATCTTTATCAGTATTTTTACACACGTGCCCTAATGCGAGGGGATTACACAATACATAGCCTTAACCCCTTAACTGCGTTGCCTCCAAATGTGACACCCCCGCAGTGCGCAGGAAATAAATTCTCTGGAAAAAATTCTTTTTTCTTTTAAAGTGTCAAAACCCTTCCCTCAGTATGGGTATGTAAAAAAAAAGTCGAAATTGTACTTACTTTGGCTGCTATGGGGTCCGGAAGTTGGGGCGTGACGTCATCATTCCCCGTGCGCCCGTGCCGTAAGCTCTCGGGGGCGGTGGGGCGCTCGGGGCGGGGTGCGCGAGTTGCCGCGAATATATTTTCGTTCATTTTTTGCGCACCTTTCCAAATACATTTTCATTGTTTTTATGTGCCAATCCAATGTATAATGAACACGTACACTATAATATCGCAGTACAACATCCGTACTGTCCGTAGACACTGTGTTACGTGCATGAAACTTGTGCGCACATATGCAGCACATATTTACTATGTATCATGCTAATTTGTGTATATATACAATCTATTTACACACTATACACTGTCACACACTATATACATTCACCATCAACACATTCAGAACACCGCGTAGCAGCTGTTTCATATGGGCCAATAGCAGCTGCCTCGTATGGGCCAATATCAGCTGCCTCGTATGGGCCAACAGCAGCTGCCCCGTATGGGCTAACAGCAGCTGCCTCGTATGGGCCAATAGCAGCTGCCTCGTATGGGCCAATAGCAGCTGCCTCGTATGGGCCAATAGCAGCTGCCCCGTATGGGCCAATAGCAGCTGCCCCGTATGGGCCAATAGCAGCTGCCCCGTATGGGCCAATAGCAGCTGCCTCGTATGGGCCAATAGCAGCTGCCTCGTATTGGCCAATAGCAGTTGCCTCGTATGGGCCAATAGCAGCTGCCTCGTATGGGCCAATAGCAGCTGCCTCGTATGGGCCAAATAGCAGCTGCCGCGTATGGGCCAAATAGCAGCTGCCTTGTATGGGCCAATAGCAGCTGCCTTGTATGGGCCAATAGCAGCTGCCTCGTATGGGCCAATAGCAGCTGCCTCGTATGGGCCAATAGCAGCTGCCTCGTATGGGCCAATAGCAGCTGCCTCGTATGGGCCAATAGGAGCTTTTGACCATGAACACATTCAGAACACCTCGAGTGAGAGCAGCCACACCCAGCCAGTCTCCCTCACTCCAACATCTTACTCGCCAACATTGTTCCTCCCACCATATTATTATAGTTCTTATTACACATGTTCTATATACCTATCTACATGTTTTATTTACCAGAACTATGCAAGTAAGCCGGTATTGTGTCCAAACAGTACAGTGGCCACCATACACTGCATGAAAAATCACACAGCAGACGACGCTACGATTACGTCACCTCCCTCACCGAAATAGCTCCTCTCAACATTCTCCTGTTGCTGTTCTTACACTATATACACACACTATATATACCCATGTACATATGTGTTGCCCATAGCGAACCAATAAGCTAGTATGGTGAGCAAAACAAGAGTGGCAGCCACACACACACAATGAGGCTACCTCAATTCTCGCCCTCCCTCATCAAAATTCCTCCTTCCACAATACTACGCACAACGCTAATTATAACCACAATCCTGCTATTATCACAATCCTGGTCACTAATTCCTGTAAATGAATAATTGACCACACGTTTATTTTGAAAAGGAACCTTAGAAATCATTTGAAGATTCCTAGATGAACGAAATAATGCTGTGGTGCTGTGGCTAGCGCTGTGAACATCGTGAACAGCATTGAATCACTGATATTTGAACATTGTACCCAGTCATTATCACACTCAGGCTCTAATATAACACTATCATAGCTAAATAATACAAGTTATATATATATTTTGGCATTATTAGGCGATGCTGTGGTCACATGCTGAACAGCAGTGCTGTGCGCTCATGCTGCGAGCGCCAGCCTTGGTTGCTCACACACTACTGAGGCTCCCACACCCGGGAATGTGGACCACGATTTTTTTTAAAGATGGCGTCTGTTTACAAGAGCCCTGAGGAAGCTGATGTGAACCCCATGTAGCCGCGGGAGTTTTGAATGGAACGTGAAAAATACAAATACCCGGAGGCGCGATGCGCAAACCAGACGTGAGCCTGCAGGCGCGTTGCGCAGTTTAAGGGTTAATTACAGTTGCTATTCTAATTTAATTTTGAAACTATCAATGTGTGTGCATTTATTTACTTATTTTGCACAAACTGTTATGTAATAATGTTAATGTTTATTGTAAAATATATACCTTAGTTATTATGCATTTTATGCATGCATAGTACAATATTACAGTACTTTGTATAATGCAAATAATCACTTGCGGTTATTTGTGTTTTGTAAATAGAGAGGTCCGGAAATAATAGTGTTGGTAGTACAGTATTGACAGTTTTGCTTGTACTGTATCTGTAGATTTTCTGCACTGATACTGTACTTTCAATTCTTACTTTGAGAGATCATTTCACAGTCTAGGTCAGACTGACAGTTACACAGTTACCTTTTGATGCAAGGCTTATGATGCCTACAATTGTTCACAATACACTATTCCTTTCAAAATAAATAAATATATATGTGTGTGTGTGTATGTATGTATATATATATACATATATATTGTATATATATATAATATATATATATTGTATATATATATATATATATATATATATATATATATATATATATATATATATATATATATATATATATATATATATATATATTTATTTATTTTTTAATGATAGCAAATAATATTTCTCACATGGCTAACAATAACAAATAAATCAATTGTTAAAGAGGTGAAGTGAGCCGTCACAGCCGCCGCAGTCCTCTTCCTCCTGCTCTGCCAGTGTTGCCAGAAGCCTTACCAGTCCCCAGAGAGAACCTCGCTGGAGGAACCACTGGCACTCTCCTCAAGAGACTGGTAAGTTGAATAAACTTGCCTAGGGCATGCTATCTTTAGATAAGTTCAGTTATACTTTTTACGTTTACACATCACCGCCATCCTTCCTCACGTGACGTAGAATGAATCGCACTTTAACCACACTAACCAGTTAGCCTCCCTGCTCTTGCATGCCTTCACACCCCATATTAGCATATTCTTCCATATTGCTTCCTCATCATTTACTGTTCTTGTTCAGTTTGTATTATCAGAACTCATACTCATTACCCAGCATACTTATTAAACCTCATTTTGCATTCCTTTCTCACAGTATATTTTCAGAATGCACATAGTGTTCTCCTTCAAATGGAGAAACTTATTAAAATGTCATAGTGCTTGAATGTGAATGTTAAGTGAAGACCCAATATATGTGCAAGTGTTGACCAGACCACACACTAGAAAGTGAAGGGACGCCGACGTTTTGGTCTGCCCTGAACCATTCTCAAGTTGATTGTGAGAATGATTAAGGACAGACTGAAATGTCGTTGTCCCTTGACTTTCTAGTGCGCGGTTTGGTCAACATATTTTAGCCACGTTATTATGACTCCTCGTCTGCATATGTGTAAGTGTATTAAAAAACAAAGTTTTTGGATGTAACCTACATCCTTTCTCAAGGTGCTGTATACAGTGTTCTCCACTGAATACAGTACTATTTTGTTCAGTACCTTGAGAAAGATTGTAGGTTACATCCAAAAATTAGATTTTTAATACACCTACATATATACTGGATCTTTCCTTCACCTTAATCCTTCAAGTGTTACCAGTTTGTGTTGGGAGTGTGGTTGGCATGCTGGTGTTGGGTCAGGCCATTTTCCTGCAGTTTGAGTCTTCTTGTTAGGGAGTAGTCAAGATGGGTCAGCCCCAAGGTTAGATAAATATACAGTATTTTGTATATGATGGCAATAAAGCCATTAAGGCATAAATAATTTATCATAAACAATAGGCATTGTTTACATGATAAATAGGAGAGGGGATGGATGGACTAAAGGAAGGAGTGTGTGGGGAAGGATATCTGTAGGCTAGTTAAGCAGTCTTATTCCTGCCCCACCTATCTTCCTGTCTGCCTGCCTGCCAAATCCCTCGTCCACAATCTATCCTCCCCATCCAATCTCCCAGTCCAGCCCACTGTCCAGTTCCTCAGCTCAGTCTGCCCAATCTCTAATCCCTCCTGCTCCTTCCTTCTCTCCCTCATACCCACCTGCCCAATATTTACCCTCTTGCCCAATAAATCCCTAATAATCGGTCTTTCTTAACTGATAGGTCCCTCCCAATATCTTTAAAAACTAATTGACCAATATCTCTCCCACCCACCTGATCTTAGTATTGAATTGTACATGCTGTACACTTATATAACAATTAGCTACCACTGGGTTAACAAGATCAACTTGTGCTACAAAAAAAGGTTAGTAAAACTTTGTAAATTTATACATTACAAACAATAACCCACCAAAATCATTATATATTTGTCTAAATATGCATAAACATGTATTGTATCACTTGGTATAAGGAAACAAATTGGTGGTAAATACCTGCTTGATAGGGTTCTGGTAGTTCTTCTACTCCTCAAGCCCGGCCCGAGGCCTTGACTCGCCTCGGGCCGATAAGCAAAACTAGGCATAAAGACGAATTTCGGGAAATCTGGATAGAGTCCAGATCAGTATTATCCAGATTTTTTAGGTTTTCCTGTACTGTCTTATCAGGGGATAGGTTGCAGTAAACCTGTCAACTATTACCCAACAGCTGCCAAAAAGCAGGTAACATAAATGTGTTAACATGTGTCGGCAGCATCACGCCGATGAAGAGTTAAGTAATCCGGTGCTCCTCCTTTCCTCGCCAGGCTGACTGCTCCGTGAAGACTGATGCTGATGCTAAACTTGCCATGGACGTCATCTCTCTCCTATTTAAATCTCTGAAAGCATTCCATAATATCAATGGATATCAAAATGCCGTTCTTGTGAGTTGAAGATTATGCTTTTACTACTTTTGATAATGTTTTAATTTAGTGTAATTTGCCATAAGAGATCTATCATTTAAAAGCACAAAATATACTCTGAGCTGTGTAATAGTTCAATGATGCACTGACACCTAGCTCTAAAAGGTTCAGGGCATCTCTAGGCCCCATCCACTCACCGATGCCTAAAATGTTTAAACATACTTGAGTCTTCAAGATTATTTTGGGGGTTATAATTAAAAATTTTACATCAAAATGTTCACATATTAATTGTCTAGGATAAACATTCAAACCAAAAGTTATATTAACAATAGCGTGTGTGTGTGACAGCATTGAATGTTCATAAACAAATGTTTATGAACATTTCAACAATCCTCATTTATTTTCCAACAAAAAATATAAAATCTGGAAATATGCACACATGATTGGTCTTTATCATTGTTACAGAAAACAAATACGTTTCATATATTATCAGGTAATTTATAAAACATTGTCAAAACATGCACAAGCAGAGCAATGGTGGTCTTGAGTGATGAGGTGCTTGGTGATCTCTGTATAGCCCTCATCCCCTACTGATAACCTCTGCCCACACTTTTAAGAACAATTATATTTGCAAATTCGACAACAACGCATTTTAGCTTTTATCGTAACACATGAAGAAATCCAAACCACTTGGGGCCCACCCCCATTCACCTTATCTACACACTGTGCTCTCTTAAGCCACCATTTTAAATAATGTTTAAATGTGAGAGACATTATCTAGTCTTGTAATATGGTGCTCGAGCTGTACACAAGAGAACAGGCTGAGGGGAAAGAGATGGTGATCACTAAGTACTTATTATAGGTGTGAGGTGGAATGATGAATGCTGCAGCTGGAGAATTGTGTGTGTGTGTATTGCTAGGTGAGTCTGGTCAGAGACCAGGCTGTGTCCAAGTGTGCAAGACACTGTCAAGGGTCAGGTACAAGTGTGCAAGACACTGTCAAGGTGGGTCAGGTACAAGTGTGCAAGACACTGTCAAGGGTCAGGTACAAATGTGCAAGACTGTCAAGGTGGGTCAGGTACAAGTGTGCAAGACTGTCAAGGTGGGTCAGGTACAAGTGTGCAAGACACTGTCAAGGTGGGTCAGGTACAAGTGTGCAAGACACTGTCAAGGGTCAGGTACAAGTGTGGAAGACTCCTAACTACCATACAGCCCACTAACTATACCAATTGCCACCAGGTGGCATCGCCAAAAACACACCTAAAGTAGCCCAGCCTAACATCTACATTCCATCCTGACGGCCAGAGCCCTTAGCCTGGCTAGCAGATAGAAACCAGTACAGACCTCTTATTATTCCTGGGGCATATGTTTCCAAGATGCTCGTGAATGATAAAGCTGCCGATGCTAATACGACATTGGTAGCCATTTGTATGCATGACGGCTTGTGGAGACAATATGTTGTCAAGAATACTGTCGTGTGCCTTTCACCTTTGCCGAGAATCAAACCACTCGTATTTGGATTGTAATTTATTATTGGTCATATTGAGGCACTAATAACCCCATGCCAAGGGTTGATAGGCTTGTGGTACTCTGCCAATAAATATAAATATGAATGTCTTGTTTTTAGACACTTCAAGAAATTTTATTTTGTCATCTCAATAGCTGGTGTCTGAAGCAGAGGTAAAGTTCAACATACTGAGGGAGTTGCACACTCCAATACCACAGGCAGTAAACACTAACTCCCGTACTGGAGGGAGAGACCTTGCAGGAGGAATTGGTGGAAGAGAACCATCAATAGGAAGTGGTCGCAGAGAACCATCAATGGGAAGTGATCGGAGAGAACCATCAATGGGAAGTGATCGGAGAGAACCATCAATGGGAAGTGGTCGCAGAGAACCATCAGTGGGAAGTGATCGCAGAGAACCATCAACAGGAAGTGGTCGAAGAGAACCGTCAATAGGAAATGATCGAAGAGAACCATCAATAGGAAATGGTCAGAGAGAAACCTCGGTAGGAAGTGGGCGGAGAGAACCACCAGTAGGAAGTGGTCGGAGGGAACCACCAATAGGAAAGTATTCTAATCCTGAGCCAAAGAACTACTTGAACTACCCACTGGTGAGTACCTCCATTGTTTTATTATATATTTTCAGCATTTCCTGTTTTTGTTTCTTCACATTCATATAATTGCTTTATTTTGTTAAGTAGCTTGATGTCATTTCTTGGGGGGAGCCCCATCGGTTTCCTGGAGCTATCCAAGCTGATGTGGATATACAGTATTAGCTTTCTGACCCCAGTCAATGTGCATGGAGTATTTGCTTATCAGGGACCACGAGCCAGAACCTGGCCCCCTCAGAGAGGGGGCCAGGTTCTGTATTGTAATTGTAACTGCATTGTAATTGTTGCTGTATTTGGCAACATGTCCTGGGCTGGTATTCGGACGCAGGGATTTTAGAGGTCGAATAGGGTCCTGTTATTTGGCTAATGTTTCTGCTGGGCGTTCGTGTGTTGCTTTTGGTCGCAGGTTGCAGGCAGTTGTTGCAGCGTTGAGAAGTGTATGGCGGCTTCCTCCCGGGTAGGTCCCTCTTTTCTTTATCTTTGGTTATGTAGCTTTAGGGAGCTGAAGGGGCTTCCCACAGAAATCCAGCGTTGAATGTAATGAAACACCATTTTCTGGATGAGCCCCGGAGGCTCCCTGGCACTGTTCCCTTCCTCTGGTCGGCTGTTTTTCGTGTTGTTTGATGCTTTGCTTCCAAACTGGAGTGCTGTGTATGGGGAGGTCCAAAGCTTCCCCCTTCCCCTCTCGGAGAGTGGGAGGGCTGCACGGTAGTGGAGTGTTACATTTACTTGTTTCCTTATGATGGGGTTTTGGCATTGATCTATGGTCGAACTCCATAGACCAATGCCCCGGTCTAATATCACACATTAGCCCAATAGCTCCAGGAAGCATCCAGGGCTCATCCAGAAAATGGCATTTCATTACATTCAATGCTGGGTTTTTCAGCTTCTTGTATATGACCAAAAACTCTGAATGTTTGCAAACTCTGAATGTTGCAAAGTTTTATTTTGGGTCTCTGCTAACATCGGCATAAATTGCTAAACTATAATTAATCAGAAGGCTTGGTCACATGCTACTGGAGCATACTGGTGCTGGAGATCCAGTATGCGACTGATGGAGGTATTCGCATGGCTGTTTCTGGAGCAAAGCATTCCAATCAGTTGCTTTTAGCTCTGAGTGGAGGGACCAGGGCTGACCTCAGCAATTGTGGGGCCCAGTTTTGGAGTAATTTTTGGTTTGTCCTCCTTTATTTTCAAGATTTCAAGTTAGGTATCAGGAATTTGATACCTGATTTGAAATATATATGGTATACTTTATACTGTTTTTCTGGGGGGAGCCCCTACGGCTCCCCGGAGCTATCCATGGCTGATATGGATACCCTAAATATTTTGCATCGGTCGATGTGGGTGGAGTTCTAGGCCTACCAGGGACCATGAGCCAGAACCTGGCCCCCCTCAGAGAGGCACGGGAAGCAATGGCCCATAGAAATGCACATGTGATTTGGAGCATTCTATATCTGCCATCGACCGGGACAGGCTCCCAGAAAGGTAAGCGCCACAAAACAAACCCCTGTTCTGGTTAACAACAAAAATCGACAAACGAGTGGACAGAACTCCCCCAGGAAAACGAACTAACAAGCATGACGTCACACGAGCCGCGCCGCATGTCTGCGCAGCTCCCCCCTCCCCGGGAGGGGGAAGGGGGAGCCCCAGACCCCCGCGCCGGCGATCCCCGCCCCAGTTCCTCGGCTGATGGGATCATGCACGGTTGTGTGGCTCCAGCTCCGGTCTTGTCTCAGTGCTGTGACTTGTTTGCAGTGCTGCTCTTATGGTGGTCGTGTGAGCTGGGAGTAGTATTCTCAGGTACTCGGGCTGCATGTGCTTAGGGTCACCTTCCCTGAGTGCCCTGTAAGTACCGCCCTTGGGGCTTGGGGTTGCCTTCCACAAGTCACCTTGGGTCTACCTCTGTTGGCTTTTCGCTGCTTGGCGTTTGGCCGCCCCGAGGGTTTGGGGGTTTTACTCCCTTGTTTACCTTACCTTGAGGTTACCTTGAGGTGCTTCCGGGGCTTAGCGTCCCTGCAGCCCGGTCGTCAACCAGGCCTCCTGGTTGCTGGACTGATCAACCAGGCTGTTAGACGCGGCTGCTCGCAGCCTGAAGTATGAGTCACAGCCTGGTTGATCAGGTATCAGGTACCACTTACCTTGGGGTAAGTGGTAGTTATATCACTGGTGGGGCAACCCGTTCTCGCAAATTCGTAAAGTCAATATTGACTTATTAACTACGTGCATAGGTGATATACTAAACATAATAGATACCCTTAAAAAGATTCATAGAAAACACCGACCTTACCTAACCTTGTTAGTATCTTAAGATAAGCATCTTATTGCTTCGTAATTACAATTATTACTTAACCTATACCTATTATAGGTTAGGTAATAATTGTAATTACGAAGCAATAAGATGCTTATCTTAACATACTAAGTAGGTTAGGTAAGGTCGGTGTTTTCTATGAAGCTTTTTAAGGGTATCTATTATGTTAAGTATGTCACCTATGCACATATTTAATAAGTCAATATTGACTTATTAAATTTGCGAGAACGGGTTGACTAATTTATGTTGTGTTGCTACGTTCCACTTCACTGTTCAACATACTATGTATGTACTGTATTAGACTGTGGCATTAGTCAATTAAGAGTTCTTACCTACCGGGGACCACGAGCCAGAACCTGGCTTCCTCAGAGAGGTAAGAGGAGCAGTGGCCTATGGAAACCCCCATGTCTGCCATCGACCAGGGTGTAGCATCCAGAATGGTAGGCATAACACAACAAACCCCATGGTGAAAAAAATTTAATTGCTACTGAAGACCGAACAGAGAAACAGAACTCCCAAATTTTAAAACAAGCAAACGTCACACCCGCAGTCGCACCGCTCATCCGCATAGCCCTCCCTCTCCCCGGGAGGTGACGGGAGAGCCCCGGGAGGGGGCGGAAGATACCCGGACCCCCTGTGCCGGCTACTCACACCTTCAGTCACCTGCCACAGTCAGACATCAGTCAGGCTGATGTCTGACTGTGGCGGTCGTCGACTCTGGCCCTTGATTCAGTGGAGTTTTGTGCCTTGTGATGTATTTCTGCGGTACGGTGTGCAGACCAGGAGTAATTTATCAGTTCTTGGGGCTGCATGTGTTTAGGGCCACCTTCCCTAAGCGCCCTGTAAGTACTGCCCTTGTGTTCTGGGGTTATCTTCCACAGGGCATTCAGAAAACGCTTCAGTAGGGTCATTTCCTGCTCAGCAATTGCCCGCCCTTGGGGCCAGCTGGGGTTTTTATAGCCACTGTTCCCACTGTTTAGCCTTGGGTAGGAGGTGGTGTCATTGCTGGTAGGGGCACAAGTTACTGTTTAACTTGTCTCCCATTATACACAGTGGCCAGTTATGTTCCTTCTAGGGATGTGCTTTGACAGGGTTTTATTTTTATTTTTGTTTGTTTTGCCTGGTAGGGGTTTGCCCCCTTGGTTCTGATCCACCTTCTGTTCTGTTGTACTGATGTTCCTCTGCTAGGCCCCCGTGATTGCACACGTCGCAAGGGTTCAGTTTTGGCAGTTCTCCTGGTAGTTTGGGCCTAACAGGTGAGCAGTACCTTGTCTGGGCTTCCCTTAGTAGTCAGCCTAAGGACCCTGAAAATCTCCATTGGGGCTCATTGGGCCAACGGATACATTCTCTGGGTTCCAGGAAGGTTGCTGTGTCCCCTTGTCTCAGGGTGACACTCGCCTGTTTTGCCTCCGTCATGCTGCCTGCTTGATACCTGCTTGATGGGGTTCTGGGAGGTTTTCTACTCCCCACAGATTTGTGAGAGCTTGGTCCACCAGGCTATTGCTTGGAGCGGCCCGTAGGCCCATATACCCACCACTGCCCAGTTGATCCGGCACTTTTTAGAAAACAATCTAGTTTTCTCTTAAAGATATCCATGGTTGTTCCGGCAATATTTCTTACAGTCGCTGGGAGGATGTTGAACAACGGCAGACCTCTGATGTTTATACAGTGTTCTCCGATTGTGCCTTTGTCACCCCTGCTCTTCACTGGTTCTATTCTACATTTTCTTCCATATCGTTCACTGTTGGCTCGATGACACTTTTGTCCCAGAGTCAAATTTGTTCTCTCTTCTGGTGGTTCCTTTGGTTCAGGATTGTTTTTCTAAGGTTCTTTCCCTGTTTGCATTGGCTTCTAGGGGGTCAGGTGTGGGAGCTTCATGCTCTCTTGTAGTGCAGGGGTTTCTACTCTTTCGGTCCTGGTAGTAAGTACAGTAGGTTTGTTCTGTTGCAGCCGTCTCCTTTTCTGGTGAAGAATGAGACTGCTGCTTTCCGGAGGGATCCTTGGGTTGTTGATGCTTGGTTGATCAGGCTGGGGGTGCATCATGTGTCGTGTCCGGTTGCGGCTTTCGCCGTTACCTGTGCTCCACGGCCTTGGTGGCCGGGGATGCACTTTGGGTTTACTCAGTCTTTTTGTTCCCTGTTCCAGCGCTCGGGTCTCGCCCAGGTTGTCCACAGGGATATTTGGTCCAGCCAGCCTGTGGTCTATCCTCATGCCCATGACTTTCATAAGTTTGCTGCTTTGGCTGCTGTCGTTGGTAGCATATCTTGGGCTGACATTCGAGCATGAGGGTTTTGGAAGTTGAACAGGGTCCTGACCGCCCATTACCTGGTCACTGTTCCTGGCCTAGTTGGGCATGTGTTGCCTTTGGTCGCAGGCTGCAACCAGTTGTTTCGATTTCGATTTGAGAAGCGAGCGGAGGTTGCTTTCCGGGTAAGTCCCTCTTGTTCCTTTTCTTTGGTTATGTAGCTCCAGGGAGCCATGGGGGCTCCCCACAGAAAACCGGCATTAAATGTAATGAAACACCATTTTCTGGATGAGCCCCAGAGGCTGCGCGGATGAACGGCGCGATGGCGGAGTGTGACGTTTGCTTGTTTCAAAATTTGAAGAGTTCTGTTTCTCTGTTCGGTCTTCGTTAGCAATTCAAATTATTTTACCATGTGAGGTTTGTCTTGTTACGCTTACCTTTCTGGGAGCCAAACCGCAGTCGATGGCAGACATGGAATGCTTCCAAATACACGGGTGTTTCCATAGACCATTGCTCCTCGTACCTCTCTGAGGGGGCCAAGTTCTGGATCATGGTTACCGGTGGATAAGAACTCCAATTGACTAATGCCACGGTTTAATACATACATATCAGCTTGGTAAGCTGCAGAGAGCCTCTAGGGATCACTCAGATAATGGCGTTTCATTACATTGAAGGCTGGTTTTTTCATGACATTCTATGGATTATATTACCTGCTGTTAGACCTCAGATAAATAAGACTTGATCAATTTAAATTTGGAAAAGCTTCTTTTCCCTAATTTCGCTGTGACTGTAATTGTCAACTGTGTGTGTAAAGCAGTAATACTGTTTGGAAAACCAGTAGCTTTCCCATTCAGAGCCCTTCTGAAGTATGAACGAGGAAGAATTGTCTTCAGTGTGTTTATTTCCATGCCCGGAATATGACCATCTAAATCTGATAACTTTCAAACTTTATAAGTTTGTTTTCCTGGATGACCTTATAATTTAAATCGACGTACGATGACCACAACATATGACAATAACCGTACTGTAAGGGCTAAGATAACCATGTCCCTAGTCCAACTTTAGATACCCTCATCCCCCAATATCATGCACCTTTAATGAGGCATTGTATCTAAGACTTTATAATATAGGCCAAGTGTATTCATTATTGTAATGCTCATAAGGTTAAAAAAAAAGAAGACATTTTGCCTACAAAAAGATTTTAGCAAGTGTAAGAGATGCGCACACGGCCTTCTGTTAGTATAAATAGTAAACGGGATCCTTGGCAAAACTTCCTAAGGGTGCCTTTTAACACTTTCGCGTTCCACAGGCTGATTATCTCGTCACTCATTTTTCTACTGAATGGGTTCCAACGACGCAATACTGAGTCACTCATTAAAATATTTTTTAAAAATTTAATTTTTATCAGATCAATCTGGTAGGGGTTTTAAAAAAAGCGCCTTTAGATTGCACACAATTTGATACCAAAATCAAAGATATAACATGAAACTTGATGTCCAAACACTTGAAATTTTATAAATAGGCCTATGGTCCGAATATTAAAATATTTGTTAAAATTCTATTTTTTGTCCTATTATCTTGGAACTTGTTTTAAAATGTGCGCCTTTTTATTGCGAACAATTTGATACCAAAATGAAAGATGTAACACAAATATTTATGTCAGAACACTGGAAAGATATAAATTAATTTGTGATGATGAGCGTCCAGAATTAAAATATTTGTTAAAAATCCAGTTATTGCTCTATTATTCTGGGACTAGTTTTAAAATAATCGCCTTTTTATTGCGAACAATTTGATACCAAAATGAGCGACATAGCACAAAATTTGATGTTATCAAATTGAACGAGTTGAACATTAGGTTGCAATGTACAAAATGGTGCTCGTTCACGGGTAACTTTAGGCTTTTCTGCGGGGAGGCACTCCAGCCTTTTGTACATTTTATTCATACACATCTGTAGGGAATTTAATTGCGAACACAATGATACCAAAACGAGCGACGTAGCACGAGAATTAAGGTAAAAAAATGAAACGAGAATGCACATGTTACTGATTTTGTGCGTTTTTGCCGACTTTACGCTTTGCTGTTGGGAGTCACGCTAGGCTTCTGGACATTATATTTATACACACTTGTAGAGAATTTAATTGCGAACACAATGATACCAAAACGAGCGACGTAGCACGAGAATTAAGGTGAGAAAGCTGGAACGAGTATACACATTTGGGTGTCACCGCGCGCTTACCCGCACGGAGGGGCCACCTACCCCCTGTCAACCGCGAGTTTCCACGGAGCGCGAAAGTGTTAAGCTATTTAGTTCAGTTAGCTTGTAGTATAACTTATCAATGTAGGAGTGCTGCTGTATATTTTATCACCAATTTTGAACTTGTCATAGTATTAAAACAACAAATATTTAATTTAGATTTTTCTTTCTCTTTGCAGAGTACCAAATTTGAATACAGTGCACCACCTTTTCGGTACAACCCTTAAGTTTAAGGTTTAAGTACAGCAGTAGTAGTCTATTAGAGACTTGTATACTGTGTTAGCAACTCCTTTTTTAGTGTATCTTGATTTTTTGTAATATAAATAGTTTGTCTCGAAAATATTGGCCAAAAATAACCATAGTTTAATAATAATGCTGGCATTCTATTTCTGTACACACAGGTTTTTATGACCCCTGACTAGTACCTTACTGTTTCAAAATAGACTGCATATTGCTGTGATCACTCATTACCAGTGTGATGATTCATGTCTTGATTAAGTATTGCAATGAACCAGATTCCTGACGCCCTCTTAAACTTGGTCATCATTTTCGCTCCAAGAGAGGATGGAGTCGCTGACGACCGGCTTTATGGTTGTGTCATCTACGTGGCGTACAAAATATATAACTTGTTTTCTTTGAAATAAATGTGATTTTTAAGTTGTAAATTTGTTGACTTAATTAAAGGGTAAGAGCCTAGATTATAATATCACCAATGTTGAACCTTCCCCTAAAACAAGCACTTGACGGTGTTTGATATAACAGTGTAACTGTTAACAAAATGTACTGTAGTACATAATAAGTTTGCTGCATTAAATAATGCATCATATTTGTAGCAAAATCTTCAATATTTTTGTACAAAATAAAAATGCAAAAAAACAAATTAAAAATACATTTCCCAAATAGAAGTGACAAAACTAGTAACTTATTCTTTATCTTTGATTATGATGATTATCATAACTTTGATTATGTACAGTGCCTAATCATTATATTTTCCATTATGTTCATTACTACAGTGGATAACAGATTAGAACATTTCTATATAAATCTGAATGTCTTTGAAGGTAATTTTTGTATGTTCTTAGTCCAAATTTTGAATCCTCAAAAGATTCTGTAGACTCTGCAGCAAAGAAAGACACAAATACTTAGAGGGTGAGGTAGACTACATTCTCCTCACCAAAGGTGTGCATGTAGTGACATTATCGTGCTCTCCAAAGCACACTAACAAAACATTATAATTATTTAGTAGAGAACTCTGTGGGGGCCTGTAAATTCTGATCACATTTCATAGCTACTGAGCACTTCATAGTCGAGTGGTGCTTAAACAGGGAAGAGCCCAAGAAACCAGTAATACTGATAAAAGATAACTTATAATTGTGGGTCTCAAAGATGCAGCCACCGAGTCTGTATCGCGTATTGAGGGCTCCATATAATACGGATTTTCAACATTGGGACAACCAAGCCATAATGGTGCAGACAAGGCAGGAGACTTCGGTTTCACTTTCATATGGAAGTCATCAAATTCCCAGAAAACTTTTCCTTGGAAAAAGTATGTTGTACCATTAAATTTGAAGACAGCGTCAATGCCATATGGAACACCTCTCCACATGTCCATGGCTTGGGGATAGTCCAACTCAACATGCTGTATAGTTTCATCAAATCTCCAGTCATTCTGTCTGCAAATAAGTAAGTTCAGCCCTTTATATCCCCAGACAAATGCCACATCTATCTTCTTCAGGTCCTCTGGTAACCCAAGATTTTTTAATCCTACCTTTATCAACTGGTGATTTCCTTGACATACGTAGAACTTACCTCCAATAAAGAACACAATATTTGCATCATGAGTTAGTTTGTATACTGCATCAATGTGCGCGATGTTCTTGGGAAGCATCGTCAAATTTCTGCCGGATAATTTGGTCTCAGATTCCCTGCTCCATCTAGCTGCCAGAAGTACTTGCCCTTAAATATATATTTCTCTTCTTATCACAGATATAGCATCATAACTAGTGTCACATGTGTCTGGCTTCTCTCTAGTTTTAGGATGCTGGATTGGTTTCTTTGTAACTGGAGGCTTGGTAACAACAGGGGCTCGAGTTGTTGGCAGAGACGTTGCTATTAAAACAATGGCCTTTGGTAATGTTGCAATTACCATTTCTAAAAAAAATGAGCAGGTTCATTAGGCAGGGTTTGTTTGTTTGCTAAAAACGAAGTTTTACAAAAAAAAAATCCATTCCTTCAGGACCTTGCAGATGTTAGGTCAAACTAATTGACAGTAATCCATTTTGCCCTTTCAAACAATGGTGGTTTTAATCTAGGTAAAATATTTCAGAATATCTGAAGTTTGGCAGACAAATTTAATCAAAGCTCTTAAAGCATTTAAGTTACCAAAGACTTTGTGAAAACAATGTTGTATAGATGCTTCAGTGTCACTTTTATAATGTTTTGTAAATTTAACAATGATCTTTAGTTAATTTAATCATAATTTGTACAAAGCTTAGGTGTTGCATAGCTTTAAATTTACTTTCAAATATGAAAACTAAAATATTGACTAAAGTTTCTTCCACTTTAATATTTCAGACTAATTTGCAATATTTGTTAGTTTATGTAAATTGAATAGGTAGTCCACTTTTACATCTTTTCAATGCATTTTGCATGCACCTGTAACAAGTTACAAATAGGTGTAAAATTTACCAAGTATTTATTTTCAAATTAAAAAAAATCAGACGTTTAAACATTGCATCATTAGTAGTAAACAATTTCCAGCATAATTTCAGGATAAGGTATATAAAGTAGTTTCATTAAAAATGTTTTATTTAATAAGTTTTACATATAGTATTTATAATACATCTAATATTTATTACCGTTTCAGGTTGTGGGACAGATGCTCCTAGATGAACAGAAGATCCAAAAGGCCAAGACAACTCCAGAGACAATCACCTGTAAAAGAAAAATAAACATTAAACAGGGACACTACTTTTATTATCACCAATGCCTAATAATAAGCCCCAAAAATCCTAACATCCTATCTTTGAAGATAGGCCTATCCCTTCCTCTGGTTTCAGTGCAGAGCTTGTTCCCTGAATGGGTGCAGTACATCCACTTTAGTGCCATCAACACATTGTACATATGCTTTACTGAAAGCACTGTACAATGCATGCCAGGCACTAAAGTTTTAGATGCATCCACCCATTCAGCAAACAAGCCCTGTGAGAATTAACAATGTAACCATTGTTAAGGGTCCCTAAACCTATGCAAATCTAGTCCATCTATTAGATGGGTAGTAGAGCAAAGCTCTGAAAAAGCCAAGCCAGGGAAATCTGCAAGACTGCCTGGTCCCCTTTTATGAAATGGGGTAGGATCAGTACATACTGCATCAATCCCTGTGGGTTGTAACAGTAGGACATGGTTACACACCTATAAATGGACTAGATAAGAGAATTAAGATTAGGTCATTGATATAGCTAAATCATCAAATTCAAACTCACCCACTTTTGTAGATTTCCTTTTGCAGAGTAAAGGAGCCTCCAAGCCAGTCCATGCATCATAATCACTTTCACCTGAAAAATATTTCAACAAATTAATTTCAGATTTAAAGCCAATCTTGCTTTACTTTTCAAATTAGCATTCAGTACTTAAAAAATTTCTTTAAGAAATTTACCTTTCCTACATATTCTAGTAGCAGTAGTCAAGATCTAATTTAGCAATATAAATATATATGGCATCATTTTGCAAAGTTCCAGTAAATGTCATTTGAGAAACTATCCACAACTGCACTTCAATGGCAATTTACACTTATTTATTGCTATATTGTTTAAGTTATTACTATTTTTTTTACTTTTATGCAAATCTATTCAGATTAACCTTTACTACAACTCACCTGATTCTGTTTAAGCAATTAACTTAAACTGACAGAGGACTTCTGGACTTTCCAAACCACATTCTGGAAAAATATATAAATTTAAAACCAAGCTAAAGTAAACATTGAATATTTTTTACTTTCAAGGGAAAAATAATCACTTAGAACAAAACTTTTCCTGCCATTAACTTTATTTGACTCATGATTACCCTTAACAGTGTTATGCATTTATAGATTAAAGCTTATTTAACAAACATTTAATGTTAACTAAACAAGATTTATATTTCATTAAAATTATTAATAAAACAACCTCAACTATGCTGTTTAAGATCTAATGCCCCACATTACAATTTTCACAATTTCAACATACCATTCTATTCAATACATTCCTGAAAGGACTAAACTTGCAGATATGGTACCCACTAGCCTAAGCCTAGACTTCCATACCCTAATATTTAATAGGTTTTTAGCAATTAACTTCTACCCTCTAATTCCAATGTACACAACACTACTTACTGTAGATCTGCAAGTATTTTCCTGCAGCTCTTTGTTGCCAGGACCTTCCACAACCTGTCATGTGAACAGTAAATATTACTAAAAAGTTATTTGCATAGCAATGTTATTTTGTTCATACCTGTACCACCAGTTTAACAGTTGCCATTTTAAATGGCACTAACTCTCTTGTTGTCCTATCTTTATTACAAACAAAGCTATAGTCATTTCAAGTCAACATCCTATACAAATTTTATTTTCCAACAACTTTAGTCATGAACATTTTTCTGGAACATTGCAAACTTTAATTTAACCATGTATAACATTTGAATAAAAACAATACAAAATATATATACAAATTCTTATTCTTTTGCAACCACTGCTTACTACTAGGGGGACAAATTTATTCTGTTGAATTATGTACCAAGCTTTTTAGTCTGAAAATTCATAATTAACCCAACTATACTACCAAGACAATGTGATTTTACTAAATTTAGTAATATTTTTACACTAGCAACTATACAAGCCCATATTCTCTCCAGTTATCACCACACTTCTGCAGGTGTAAGGTTCTATCTCCCCCATCTGCAGCACTCATGACCACACTTGGTCTTTATTATAAATTTCTTTATGAACCTGATACAGTACTGTTAATGGATTAAATGTGGGAACAATTTAGCTACAGTTCTGCCAAAGGAATGATTAACACTTCTGATTTCAGTGTCAAAAGGGGGGGGGGGTGTCCATTTACTGTACCACTTACATTTTAGTGTGGGCTTCATCCACTATTCTGATGTTAGCTGGAACATTTGTGCCAGCTGCTGGTTTGAAAGGGAGGCATACCATGTGCCAATTCAGGAAGCTTTCCACATTCCTCACTGCATGTCAGCTCAGGACCTCACTACCATGTTGGGAGGCAGTTGAAGAGTAACCAATCAACATCCCAGGCTGGAGAGCAGTGCCAGCTCGGGGACAATTTACCACCTGCAAAAAATTTAATACTCTTAACAATCTACACCATCTATCTCATCTTTACCTAGCCCCCAAACCTTACATTTGTCAGCATTAAACTGCATCTGGTAGTCTTAACCATTTCAAAACTATATAGGGCATCGGTATTTTTTATTTGCCAATTCTGCAACTATTGCAGTCTAAACCATAATCTTGCGAATAACCGAGGTCCAAGGAGAGCTTTTAGGCACTACTTACAACACTTCTCCCAACTTAACCCCATTTATACTAATTTCCTTTGGTATAGCCATGACCTAATCAACTTCAGTCAGCATTCCCAATGATCCGAGCCCCTATCAATTTTGCGCC